TTGCTTATTAAAAAGATTATTATCAATACGGTGATTTATAATGTTTTTCCTTGTAATTAGGGATATAAAAGTTTTCAATTATCTCTTCTGAAGTCGTAAAAATCTATTTTAAGACATTTACGAACCACAATCACAGTAAAACGAAACGTGGCGCTATAAAATTTGGCGGGAAATATTAATACTCGACGCTTATTATTGTACTTTCGCATGCCGTTTTCTCCAATTTGCTGCCAGATACCAATTTTAAACAAACTGGAGTTTGATAACAGCACAATAAGTCATCTAGAAATGTTTTTACTTTTGAAATAAACTGTCGCATCTCGGTAAAACAGTCAACTGAAAATGACTGAAATTTGGGTGACGCTCATTAACGATTCAGGAGCGATTTTTAGCACCAGGTAAAAAATAGAGTATTTAAGCAAAGGAAGTTTAACATATTCCAGTCGACTAACGAAGTGATAGGTGTTATGGAAAAAATATAAGAACTATTGGGAGTGTGGCCAAGAATGTTTTAACTTCACCCAAAGTTAGCCAAAATTTGTGCTTTTTTAGGTCGCCGGAGGTCCCAAAATCTCGAAATAGTGATATCTCGAAGAAAATCGAACGGATACTTCTCCAAATGCCATGGTTGTTAATCTTTTCAGATAGCTTTCATACTGTGAAAACATGAAGGTAAATGGCCGACCTCGATCTTTTGCTATTGCCCGGTTTTTTCTGACAATAACACTTAAATGATTTTCGCAGTGTGAGTAAAGGTAGAGCGCCCGCTTAGCATGCGGGAGGTACTGGGATCGATACTCATGCAGATTCTCCATTTTTTTTTAAATGAATGTGAATGCAGCAATGTGTATAAGGAAGAAAAATTTCTTTTAATCATTTTCAAATAAAGAATACAATAAATAAATAAAATACAATGAGCTCAAACTTTATTTCAATTAGAAAAAAAACTGTTTTCGTTAATTGCTAATTCATATCGAACTGTCATCTCTTGCACTTTAGCCACTAAAACAGCGGACTTATTTGCTTTTAATTAGCAACCCATTTTTTTCAAAAATTAAACCCAAGCCATGCAACCTTACATCATGACCGTGAGCAAAATCTTAGGCCTTGTGGCTTCTCGTTTATTCTTTTTTTAAGTTCGGGCTATTCTTTATAAAATACGACGTTTTAACAACCCGCTAACCGTTAACACGGTATTGTCAAAAACTGCCCAAAATAAGTTAGTGTTTACGCACAAAAAGAAATTGTTGTCAATTTGGAGGATCCGGAGATCGATCTCGGTACCTCCCGCATGCTAATCGGGCGCTCTACCATTTTAGCTAATCACCGCCTGCCTCAAGGTACAAGCTCTTGGGCAAGATTTAACATCACGACAACCACAAAGCAATGTTTATGCAGTATGATTTAATGAAACAAAGCATTCAAATTGCTGTGTAGAATAAAGGATACAAGTTGCAAAAAATAAAATGAAATAAAAAAAAAATTAATGGTCAAAATATCTTATCGAATAAAATAACAAATTTAAAATAATGTTAATTTTTCCAAGCCTAGAAGCTTTAAGCGCTGCAGATCCATTTGTTAATAAAGGAGGTGCATCTCGAAATTTAAGTTGTCCGTTTGAGTGAAACATAAAAATAACTGCTCAAAACGTTAAAAGAAGGACGCGTAAAAATGGCACATGAAATAGGACAAACGTTAAAATGTTGAAACGGATTGCAATGGTGGTTTTTGAAACCTTGTACTGTTAGCCAAACAGTTTGTTAAAGTTCATGGTATATTTTTGCTCATAACGTTTGATGTTACACAAATGCATGCTTGGGAGACATATTTGTTTATTGAGACGAGGTTGTGATTTTGTCATTCACAAGTAGTTGTAGTCAAGTAATCAAGTTCCATAGCGAGTAAGTATGCGTAACTTGAAATACGATCTCTTACGTTCTGCCTTTTTTGTAACTGAATAAAAAAATATCTTTTTTGGCCAAAGATCAAATGATAAATGCGATAGAAGGCTAAATTATATAATGCCATACTGACCACCAGAGCAAACCAGCTTTTTAAAGCTAAAAAGTTAAAAACTACCTCGAGTGTGTTGAAAACAGACAATTACATGGGGAGATACAAAGTTTCTCTAAAGAGGACGACAGCGAAAAGAAGAAAAAGGGCCTGTCCGGGAGTCGAACCCGGGACCTCTCGCACCCAAAGCGAGAATCATCAGGCCATTCTATCTCGTCATCACTGCCCCAGGGATCCCATGAGATAGCCAGACGCATACGCATAATCAGTGCTTTTCGCGCGCTTACTCGGTATTCTCACGAGGTTTCGATACGCGAAAGAAAATTATTTCTTTTGTCATCTTTATGCAAATTTGAACCTATTTCTTGCGTTGAATCACTAACACGACATGGATGGAGCGGATCTGGCGTCCGATACAAGGAGCAAAGGCGTAGAAGATTCTCAGGACACGAACATGTCAGTCCTCGAAGGATTAACTTCGACCTGGGCACAACTTGCCAAGGCTTCGGAGACACAAACGGCAATGCTAGCTAGTCTCAAGGAAGACCTTCTCCTTCGTACTGACTCAGACGAGGATGGAGAGGCCGCTCAGAGCCTAAATGATAGCGTTGATCTGAACGCCGCCTTAACTGATGTGCTCGACCCGAGCGACACGCATACAAGTACGACCGCGGCGGCGAAACCTGCATCATGCCCTGACTCAGGGTCGCAGGATGACATTTTGGAAAGCCTGACTCAGGCATTTGTGCAAACCAAAGAGAAATCTCCTGCGATAGCAGAAAAAATTGCTGGTTTAATTGACAACATGGTTACTGGAGGTCTCTCACCAAACACAATCAAACAACGAGTTGAAAAATATCCTCCTCCAGAAAATTGGAAATTCCTGTCCACCACCACCGTCAACGAAGAAATTTGGGATTTGCTGCCTCGACGCAGCAGAACGGTACCTAGCTTTCCAGCGAGTTCAAGAACCGCTTGTTCAGGGTTTGCCAGCCCTGTCTATTTTAGGAGACCAGTTGGTAAAGGACCTTCACGCTGGCAAAACATTAAATACACGTCAGATCTTGGATCACGTGATGGATAGCATTGCTCTTCTAGCTAATGCCAATTTTAAACTCAATATGGCACGGCGAGAGTTGATAAAACCGGAACTTAACCCTCCATACACCAGGCTGTGTAAAGATGAAATTAAACCTTCAACAAAATTGTTTGGAGATGATTTATCAAAACATTTGGAGGATATGGCTGAGGCAAAGAAAGTTGGCCGACAAATGCAGAAAACTTCTGAAACTCGAACGGAAAGTCTAGGCTATTTCAAGGCAGGACGGCAGAAATTTCGCCGTCCAAACTTTAAACCTTATGACAGACCATCCAGTCAGAAAACGTCTCAGCAGCGTCCTTTTTTAGGCTACAGCCGGGCACAGAAGAGTGCCCAGAAAAAGCCAAGTGAACCCACCAACAAAACCCAGTAGAAACACAGGTAAGAGAAAACTACCCAACTCCTATCGATAAAGCAAATCTGTCTCAAAGGGTTGCTAATTTCTCGGCTGGAGGGTTAAAGATGGCACTTTTAGAATGATTTTAAATCTTAAACAACTCAACGAATTTGTATCCTATCACCATTTTAAAATGGATACGATTCAGACAGCCCTCAAACTCAGGCGTCCCGGGTGCTTTATGGCATCGGTAGACCTTAAGGACGCCTATTATTCTGTTCCTATTGCATTAGAGGATAGGAAATACTTGAAATTTGAGTGGCAAGGTAGCTATTTTCAATATACCTGTTTGCCCAATGGCCTGGCTTGTGCTCCTCGCCTATTCACAAAAATATTAAAACCAGTCTCATCTCAGATCTTTGGGTAATATCTGTATGGGGCATATAGATGATTCATTTCTCTTGGGATATAATTATACTGCCTGTGCCACTAATATACAGGACACTGTTGATACCTTCCTTAGTCTGAGGTTTGTGGCTCACCCAGAAAAGTCAGTCCTGATTCCAACACAAGAAATGGAATTTCTTGGCTTCTTGCTGAATAGTATAAACATGACAATCCGACCCCTACCCGTTAAAGCGGAACGTGTACGGCTAGCTTGCCAGAGTTTACTGGACAAAAGTAAAATAACTATTAGAGAAGTGGCACAAGTTATAGGGTTGATGGTTTCTAGTTTCCCTGCCGTTCAGTTTGGGGAACTATACTATAGGGCCCTAGAAAGGAATAAAATTCTTGCTCTGCAGGAAAGTAGGGGCAATTGTGATGCACCAATATATTTTTCAAATGAATCTAGATCAGAGATAGCTTGGTGGGTGAACAATGTAGATTCTTCCTTTAAACCTATTTTCCAGGGAGACCCTGACCTGACTCTTACAACAGATGCCTGTACTAGCGGTTGGGGTGCAGTAAATGGGGCTCACAAACCTGGTGGTCTTTGGAATGTAGACGAACAAGCTTTCCATATTAACTACTTAGAACTGAAAGCAGTTCAGCTGGGGTTGAAATCACTTCTTGGCCATGTCCATGGCAAACACATAAGAATTCAGTCTGACAATAGAACCACAGTGGCATATGTTAATAACATGGGGGGTATCAAGTCTGCAGAGTGTGACAGTTTGTCTAGGAAATTTGGCTGTGATGTATAGAAAGAGACATCTGGATCAGTGCTTGCTACATACCCGGCTCTACCAATGTAGATGCTGACACTGAATCTAGGAAAATTAGCAATTCAACTGAATGGTCTTTAAACATGGACGTCTTTTCAGACTTGGATAAACTGTGGGGCCCTTTTCAAATCGACCTGTTTGCATCCAGACTTAATTTTAAAGTTCCCAGTTACGTGTCATGGAAACCTGACCCTGGTGCTCAATATGTCAATGCATTTTTCATGAGTTGGAAGGAGTACTATTTCTATGCTTTCCCCTCTTTTAGTGTTATAGCAGCCTGCCTACAGAAAATAGAGCAAGATCAAGCAACTGATGTCCTTCTCGTTCCTGTTTGGCAGACACAACCTTGGTTCACCCCTCTCCTTCACCTGTTAGTAGACAATCCTGTTCTTCTCCCCCAGTCGACTCATCTGTTGACACAACCACACAACCATGCCTTACATCCCCTTCGACGACAGTTGAGACTGATGGCTTGCATGGTCTCCGGGAAATTCTCCAGCAGAGAAATGTTTCAGGCAAGGCTACAGCAATCATCCTCAAGTCCTGGTCTGACGGAACACAAAAACAGTACAAACCATACATCAAACAGTGGATGGACTTTTGTAGTGAATGGAAGACTGATCCCTATGATCCACCTGTAACCGTTGTTTTAGAATTCCTCGTTAGCCTCCATGAAAAGGGATTGACTTACACCACCATCAATACTGCCAGGAGTGCCGTATCAGCAGTTACTATACCCAAGAGTAACATGACTGTGGGCAGTCACCCACTTGTTTCCAGGTTTATGAAAGGTGTTTACAAGGATTCTCCGCCAACTCCACGCTACCGGTCAACCTGGGATGTAAAGCCTGTCCTAACTTATCTTTCCTCCCTTCACCCTTCAGAGAAGCTTGATTTAAAATCACTCACTCTAAAGCTGGTTTTGCTGATAGCCCTGGTCTCTGCACAAAGGGGACAATGTTTTTAAATTTGCTTGACCTTGGTTGCATGAAAAAAGTGACTAATGGATTTGAATTCTTGTTCATGGAACATGTCAAACAAAGCAGGCCTGGTTACCGAGCTCCATCTGTTCTCCTGTAAGCTTATCCTGCTGATTTGTCACTCTGTGTGTCTACTTGCTTGGCAGAATATCTTGAGAGAACCAAGCCACTAAGGGGAGCGGAAAGTAAACTTTTTTATTAGCTTCATCAAACCTTACAAACCTGTTTCCAGGGAAACTATTTCTAGATGGATTCGTTTGATAATGGAGTCGTCTGGTGTTGACACCAGTGCATTCAAACCACACAGAACAAGAGCTGCAGCTACGTCGAAAGCCAAAGCTTCAAATGTCCCCATTGATGAAATCCTGCGTACAGCTGGATGGTCGTCCTCGAGGTGTTTTGACCGTTTCTACAATAAGCCAGTCGTTACCTCCACTTTTGCTTCTGCAGTGCTTCAGACTGATTAGAACAAGGACTAGGGCCTTTGCTTCTCTGCCCTGTTGCTACTGTTTAGTGATTCCCTATAACGTTGATTAGTTCCTACAACTTAGAGGTTTTTTCAGGGTTATTGTGCTTTAGCCCTGTTGTTTCTATTACTCAGTGTGTTCATATAGCATTATTTGTAAGCGTTTTTTGTTCTTTATTTTTATGGGCTACAGTTTGTGTTACTGTTAGTACTGTACAGGGTTGTTTATGCATTAAACACCTTGCAGTTGGACTTTGGGTTTTTTCTTCATGTGACTGTCTTGGCTTTAAAGTCTCATGGGATCCCTGGGGCAGTGATGACGAGATAGAATTGAAAAATTAAACGAGACTTACCTGTAAGTTGAAGTTTTATTGGAATTCTATCGAGTCATCAAACTGCACCAAGGGATCACATGCCCACCCTTTGTACAACCAGTCATGGTTGATTTTGTCGTACCCACCCTTTGTCCTACCGAGGTTTTACTTCGGTTGGCTTTCTGATATTACCCCCTTTTATGGGTGTTTGTTTGTAAGACACTCACATTCAGCTGTGAATACTGATTATGCGCATATCTCATGGGATCCCTTGGTGCAGTTTGATGACTCGATAGAATTCCAATCAAACTTCAACTTACAGGTAAGACTCGTTTAATTTCTCAATTTTTGATTAGTACCTGTACTCTCTGGCTTAAAAAATCTCAGGAGTAATTTATAATTTCTGAATCTCCTGTTGAGACTCAACTTCATAAATTAGTATTCAGTTTCTTGACCATCATCGTGTTCTATGACCTGAGAACACTTTTTCTGTAGAATAATTAAATTAAACACGATTTGGTATTTTTATGAAAAGGATAACAATGTAAATGATTTTCGATAGTTCAGCAGGATAGTTCAGTTGATTATTAGTTCTCCTCTTTAAAGCGGGAAAGCGTAAGATTTACTATTGGTTTCATGTTAAGTGTGGTGCAAGAAACATTCATGATTAGCTTATTTCTCGCCTCGATTTTCTAGGAAGGGGGGATTAGCTCAAATGGTAGAACCTTCGTTTTGCATGCGAGAGGTACTGGGATCGATACCGAAATTCTCCATTCTTTTTCCGCTGTAAAAAAGAAAGCTCATTTTTTCTTGCAACTTGGAAAAAGGGCACTTACTGCTTCTTTTGGACATGGACGCATGAGATGTAGCCACTGACGTTTGCAATTAGATAGCGCTTAAAAGTGGCTGGTGGGTCCATGGCTTTACAAAAGACCGTAAAGGGACATCACTCGTTGATATTTCCGGCTTTCTTAGTTCTTAGTTCGTTATTTCAATGCAAACGACCGATAAGATATCGCTTTTAAGATTTTTGCGCCTTTGGGCAGCGAAAACATTTAAATTTAACAATAATAATAAAGAAGTCGGTTCAAATCATGAACAACGTATCAGTTTTGTTCGCCCGTCCTCTCTCACGGTTTAATTTATAAGAGTAATTTCTGTACTTGATATTTGGCGTAAAAGCAATGGAAAATTTAATACCATTTTCTCGTAATCTCTTGGTTATCAGAGAGGCAGGAGTCCCATTCTATATGCAAGATCCAAAGTCCTTCATAATTTAGTTGAAAATGTTCTTATATTGCTAATGTGTTTGACTGCTTGCTTGATGAATAGTTTGTTCTTTTTTTGGTTTGATTTTTCTGTTTTTGTTATATTGTAAAATTGGAACTCCCAAAAAGGCATAAAAAGGGGCCTGTCCGGGAGTCGAACCCGGGACCTCTCGCACCCTAAGCGAGAATCATGCCACTAGACCAACAGGCCATTCTTGATAAAATGACTACTTTTTAAGTTATCACTACCAGTGTCAACATTAAATATCAATTTGTTCCTTTGAGTACCTGTACGGTGTCCCTGAAAAATGCGTCTAAAACTAACTCATGATTTTTACAGTTTTATTTTCCAAACGGCTAAGTCTATTTTCTTCGCTAACATCTTGTACTATTTGCTGACAACACTTTGATAAACTTGGATTTGAGTTTTCTTCGTTTTCTTTAGTTTAAGGCAGCACAGATTTATCCTGGCTCTCGTTCATAGTTAAGTGTAAGAAAAATCTAAGTTTAGCTAATTACAGGGGTATAGAATGGTAAATTCGAGGTAAAAACTCCGAGACGAAAAATCACCCGAAAACGAGAGTTCGAGAGGTATCACACACGCTTCCAAGATTTCGAGATCAGGCCAAACTTATCAGAGACCCAAGTTTTTCGAGGAAAATTTCTATACCCCTAATTATTCACGCTGGTTTTCCGGGCAGGGGTATTAGCTCAAATGGTAGAGCGCCCGCTTTGCATGTGGGAGGTACTGGGATCGATACCCAGATTCTCCATTTTGTTTTCAGGCTTTTTAAACTGAATGTGTTGGCAGCAATGTGTATAAGAAAGAAAAAATTCTACAAAAATTTCTACATGAATGATAAATAATTAAGATAGAATGCAATGAGCTCGAAAAATTCTTTTAATTAGACAAAAAATCTGCTTTTGTAAAATTGCGAATTCCACCGATCTATCATTTCTTGCACTTTCGCCACTATGGCAGCGGACTTATTTGCTATTAATTAGCAACCCATTTTTTTGTCAAAAAGTAAACCGAAGCAAAGGACCCTACATCATAGAAACCGTGAGAAAAATCTTAGCCCTCATGACTTCCTGTTTATTCCTTTTAAAGTCAGGGCTATTCGTGAAATACGACGTTTCAACTGCTGCTAACACGGTTCTATTCAAACATGCCTAAAATAAGGTAGCGTTTACGTACAAAAAGAAATAATTGTCAATTTGGAGAAGCCGTGATGCTTTTAGCCAAAATAAAAATCTCCATCTCCAGGACTAACCACCCTTCAGCTCTTAACTATGGGCTCGAAATAACTTCCTGGAAGTGACAGAAATCAGTGAAATGCCAGACAGAAATTATGCACTAGGGAAGGCAACAGGCCGGCCCGTAGGGTCAGCCTGCCGTCGTTTAACCAGCTAATTTTTTTTAGGGGGGCTTCCGTCAAGCTAAGTGTCATGTTGTTGCACAGATACAGGGCTATAAATTTATCTGGTATGCATTTGGGGTCGCCTGGTTAAATTCCAGGGAACTGGAGTTGTTCTAAAGACTGTGCTTTGTGCTAGAGTGTGGATTATTGCTGAGTTTTTGTACCGAGGCTGATCCCTGTCTTTCAAAGCTCAGTGTCCCCCTCAAATTGAGGAAGGTTTGTGTCTATCTGGGTGTCATGTTTTTGCACAGACACAGGGCTATCATCTGGTATGCATTTGGGGTAGCCTGGTTAATTTTCAGGTAGTTGGGGTTGTTGTAAAGTTTGATGTGTCTGCACTGTTATGCAGTTTGTTTGTGCTGTTTGCAAGCAAGCAATGACCCTTTCTGCTGATAATGTTCCAAGTCAGGAAGCAGTTAAATTAGTGGTTGAAGGACCTGGTTTTGTTTCCGAGCAGTGTTGGCTTGGATTGTTTTTGGGAGACCAGTTGCGATAAAAAGTGGGGTGAACTGGGGAAATGTCTTTGCAATCGGTGACACTAAAACACTAGAAATTGTTCCTTGAAGTGCCTTATTTTCCAGACTAAGATGAATGCTTCACTTTTGTTACCTTCAAGACAGACGTTTCTATCAAATGGAAGCTCATGTGTTCAAGAATCTCTTTTTGAGGTGAGATTTTATATTTCCGCTAAGAAGGGGCATTAAATTACTAATCAGTGCGACAGAATGACATGTTTTAGTAGCCCGGTTTTCAGAAAAAAAAAAAAAAAAACAGACATATCTGATTTAATAATAATGAAGCATTCAAATTGCTACATAAAGGATACAAGGAAAAAAAAATTAGCAGTATTCATTTTTTTAACCATCATTGTGTTCT